CACGCACGCACGCACACACGCACGCACGCACACACACACGCACGCACGCACGCACACACACACACACAGACATATATATATATATATATATAATAAATAATAATATGAATATGAATAATAGTAAAAGAAATAATCATAATGGTACTTTCAAGCAAATCTGCGAGCATGCAACAATTCATGCCCGAGAGACGACCACACGTAGATTTCATCCGAATAATATGTGTGATACCCCGTGTACATATGTATATATGCGTGTAAATATGGTGGCACATACATATACATGGCACCGCATGAACGAGGAGAAAGCTGTTGTGCGAAACTTTATCCTCTATGTCAGTTGCACACGAGGCCGCCTCCTTACACGCGATGCGGCGCTGTAGCGACGTAGTTAAATCGCGCTGTCGAACAAGCAGCTTAATTAATATGCATCGCTTTTTTGCTATTTTGATTGGCAAAGAATAGAAGCATTAAATTTTGTATCATCTGAGAGCATCCTGGCTGGGTTCTATATCGGCAAGCGAGATCGTGCTTATAGTGCACGTCAGTGGGGCGAATATAATAAAAGTAACCCTCCCCCACTCTTGACCTCTCTCTCTGTCTCTCTATCTCCCTCTCCCTCTCTCTCTCTCTCGCACACATTCTCTCTCTCTTTCTGTCTCTTTCTCTCTCTCTCTCTCTCTCGCTCTCTATTTCTCTCTCTCTCTCTCTCTTTNCGCGCGCACGTGTGTGTGTGTGTGCGTGCGTGCGTGTGTGTGTTATGTGTGTGTGTGTGTGTGTGCGCGCGTGTGTGTGTATGTGTGCGTGTGTATACGTGCATAGGTGTGAGGGTTCTGGTTGAGGGATAACCTGATGCCTACTTTCAGACATGGTATGAAGAGGGCAGGCCGCCTGTGTTCTGGGTTTCTGGCTTCTTCTTCACGCAAGCTTTCCTCACGGGAGCCATGCAGAACTACGCTCGCAAATACACGATCGCCATCGACAAACTAGGATTTGATTTCGAGGTGAAATATTGCTCAAGTTGTTTAAGGTTCGATCTTAGACTGCGCCCAATTCTACCTACTCCCTCTCTCCTCTCTTACCCTCTTCTTCCTCTCACGCCCATCTCTCTCTCTCTCTCTCTCTCTCTCTCTCTCTCTACCTTCCCCGTCTCGCCCCCCACCAACTCCACTACCTCTGTCCCCCTCCCTCCTGTAATACCCTACAATATCCGCACTCTTTTAACCTAACACTGGTGATACCGAGGGACACATCGGACAACGCCCCTTCTCTCTCTCGCCCCTCTGTCCGTCCTTTTCTTCTAATATCTCTCTCTTCTCGTCTCCTCTCTCTCTCGTCTCCCTGCTATCTTCTCCCCTCTCTCCTGCTTTTCTCTCTCTCTCTCCTTCTCTCTCTCCTTCTCTCTCTCTTCGTTTTTCTCTCTCCTATTTTCTTTCTCTCTCTCCTTCTCTCTCTCTCATTCTTTCTCCCTCCTTCTCTCTCTCTCTCTCTCATTCTTTCTCTCTCCTTCTCTCTCTCTCCTCGTTTCTCTCTCTTCTATTTTCTTTCTCAGCTCTCTCTCCTTCTCTCTCTCTCTCCTTCTCTCTCTTTCTCCTTCTCTCTCTCTCGGCATGAGAAGCCCCATGAACACAGCTATTGTTGCAGCGGCCGCGGGCTGTGACGGAGAACACACGAGGCAGGCTTAATCACGTTAGCGTCTGCATCGTCATCTCATTGACAACAAAGACGCGCTTATTACCCTAATATCGTCTGGCTGATGCCGCGAGTAATGGTAACCCAGTTACTGGCGCACGCGGCCACGATACATACATATGATATATATATATAAGTATATTATATATATATATATTCATTATATATTATATTATAATATTATATAATATATATATATATAATATACATGTATAGTCTGACTGCGTGTGTTCACAATCAACTCTTTCTTTGTCTGGGCGAGAAAATGTCAAGTGTCGATGAGGGAGAATGTGAGAAGTGTGAGATGGGTAAGCCCGTAGAAATATATAGAGACACGTATGTAGTCTACGTGTATTATTTCTATGGGTCATCCACGTGCGGGGGCGTGTGGCGCTCAGTCTTCCTCTATCGGCATGATCAGGAGCTTCTCTCTATGTGTTCCTTCGTGATTAAATTCTCGATGTAATGAGTGTTTTTAATAGGGAATCGCGTGGTCGCATTGTCTACACAACAATGCGTGTATGTCTAGCATCGAAAAAAAGATGAGGATGAAAGACGGAGCGAAAGAGAGGGGAGGGAGAACCAAAGAGAGAGAGAGAGAGAGAGAGAGAGAGAGAGAGAATCAGGAGAGGGCGAGACAATGAGAGAGAATGGGNCGGTTGTGTGTGCGTACGTGCGTGCGTGCGTGCGTGCGGTCGTGTGTGTGTGTGTGCGTGCGTGCGTGCGTGCGTGCGTGCGTGCGTGCGTGCGTGCGTGCGTGTGTGTGTGTTTGTGCGTGTATTATTTATATTTAAGAGAGAAATATTTAACGCAGTATGATAACCCGTTTACGGTGAGCAGCGACTTGCGTTGTCAGAAACGTTGTGACTGCAGTCATAGCCATCGTAAGACCCGTCTACAAGACCAGGTGCGTGCGCGTCGCAGCTTATGTATGTAATATCAGGAGTGTCATAATATAGATATTATGACACTATGTATATAATATGACACTTCTGGTAATATCATCTCTAAATCTAAATCTATTATATATATTAATATAATCTATGTAATATGTCTCTATATGATGGGGCAGGGATGGAAAAATAGCTAGAGTGCAGCCAGTATTGCATAACATTATGACGTGGAGATATGTTAGATAATGATTTTTTATATAGATTTATATTATATAGAGAAATATGTAGATATAGAGATGATATTATATATATATATATATATATATATATATATATATATATATATTATGTTATATTAGAGATATATATAGTTAGACTTGTTTAATGCACTATGATAACCCGTTTACGCTGAGCAGTCACTTGCGTTGTCAGAAACGTTGTAACTACAGTGATATCGTAGTGTTTGTGTACGTGACATCCTAGACTCGATTCCTAGATATAAGCTAGTCTATGATATTTCTGCAACAGACTTCCAGGATGAGCGTAAGATGTTATTAGGTAGAGCGCTGGTGGCGTGTAACCTGTGCGTTGATGTAATTTCAAGTAATCTTTTAATTTTAATTAATTTTTAAGTTCTGCCAAAATATACGTTGATTGAGTAAATGTTTTCCGCCCCCACAGTGAGAGAAAGGGTACGCTGTCCACTACCGGTCACTCGACCAACTACGTTCTACCGATCTTACTGGACAGCGACCAGCCGGTGCAGCACTGGATCAAGCGAGGTGTGGCGCTGCTTTGTCAGTTAGACGACTAGTCCCGTATCGACCATGCCTGTGTGTGCAGAGATGTTGTTATTGCCCTGTATACGATACGTGCTAGACTTTGACCACCCACTTCCGGTCGCTCACTGCACCCTGTAAAACTGTACTGCGAATATATATATATATAATTATATATATAATATCAAGAGCTAATAATACCTATAATCTATATACCTATCTAATCTAAGAGCTAATAAAGGTATTATTAGCTCTTGATAATATATATATCTAATTTTAGCTGGGTGGCCGCGTGATATTTGCATAGTAAATTTATTATCAGTAACGTTACAAGTGGAAAGACGCGGTTGTTAAGCGAGGAATGTGGGTCGGTTTCTGCCGTACAGATGCCGTCATACTCTGTTATACTTTACTGTGTAAAGTAGACGTCTGTTATTGAAATCCGGTTAATAAATAAACGCTATGCCTTGAACAGTTATTTTAAAGTTTAAGAATGTTATCTTCTTTAATAGCTTTATTGATTTGCACTAGTTTTATTATATTGACAATACTATGGGACTATGCTATGAGATTACTAGCTAAGTCATAGAGTATTAGGACATAAATAGTAATTGGTCATGATACAAATGAGTTTCCACAATTTCCAGTCGATGGGACGGATTTTAGACTAGCTAGAAGATAAAATATATATCAGAATGAAGCCAATAGCCAGTTTGTTATGAAAAAGATACAATAATAGCATTTATTTTGTACACAATACATTTATATAACAAACACAATTATATATCTGGCAAGTACGATTTAGCATGACATACATACTAGAATTTCATAAAGAATAAAAGAGTGAAAACACAGCACATTAAGCTATGGTTGTCAGAGGTGGCTGGGACTTTCCAAAAAAAAAGCATTCGTGGTAGTGGACGGTAATAGAAGTTAGCAGTTATTCAATCGAACTTAATACAGTTTATTTCAATGAACTCCTATTTTTAAGTTTGGTTTACTAAATATATACAAGGTGCATATCGTGTATATACAAATCCACAGATGTTAAGCAATTGTAGATTTCAGTAGTGAATTGCGTAATCTGTCAATTAATCTCAAGCAAGACTCAATACAAACACAGACAACGTTTCTTTGATTTCTGGCTGTTGACTACATAGATACGCAGCATTCATGAAAAGCTATATTGCCTTTGACAAATATACATTTGGATAACCGCCGCCTGTGACGAGAGAGAGATTACGCATCGTCTCTTATTATTTTAGTATTGAGGTAGTGTTTGATACTTTGCGGGGGTGGGAGTGGGGGTGGGGTGTGTGTGAGTGGTCTCTGTAAGGTCGTTACTGAAGAGATGCCTCCTAGGGAGCGACTTGGAGAGTATAACACCAATATTCTGTGGTTGGTAAAACCAATTTTAACCGATTCGACCCGCCGTGTCGTTGAGAATCAAGACTATTTCCTGCGTCGTAGACAACGCGTGTCGGTGTGATCGACTCGAGCAAACATATATATTACTAAAAGCCCAATCGGGAACCCTCGGACCATTCAACAGAATAGGAATTCTTTTCTAGGAATGACGGAACGAGCCGAATGGGTTTTCCGATTGACTAAAAGCCCATACATCATACATTTATACTATATACACACGCGTACACACGCACGCGCACAGATATCAGGAGTAAATATTTAGAGTACATACTGGTCTTAATATTATTATTTATTGTTGATACGTTACACTATCAGAGCAACTCAGTCTTGCTGTAGGCGCGGGTGGAGGTCGCTAGTAGCTCCAATCTATACAGTACAACGGGCCATAGAAGCATAGAAATAATATAGGTAGACTAACATAGGTGTATCTATACATTTCTATGACCTAACGCAACGATATTCGCTGTATATATTTGATGTGTGTTTAATCAGTCGCGCCTCTGTTGCGCGCGTAGAGAAAACATACATAAATGCGTAGGGGCCCCTATCGAAGACGTACAAGACGTACGTTGGAGAGGAGAGCGAAGCCAGGCGCGGTTTGTGTTCTTTGCAGTTAACCGTGGACAGTTCGCAATTGACAAAGTCATGGTATTCACGTTGGTCTCACCCCCACTTCCCCAGGTAGCAACGTACATAACACTTATATATAACAATTAATAGATATTTAGAATCTCGCGGCGGCCATCTTGGATATTCTATCGTTACGGGTGTACGTTACGGTAAAAAACCAGCTTGGCACTGTATCTGAAATCATTTAGTATACCTTTAACATCATACACGCCGATTTTGGTGAATTCTTCTTAATATGTACACATACCTGCCCCGCTATTCCTGTTATTCGGAGTGTGTCACACGCAGGAGACGTATAGAGACTGCAGTTCGTGAGTGCTCGTGATCATCATCTTCTCTCTCGTGCGCACGGCGCGCTGCTATCGCACTCAGCAGTCTCTCTCTCGCGTCGGCCGCTTCCGCCTGGCTCACGCGCGAGTCAGGTTTGCCGTTATGTATGCGACCGCGCAGCTTTTTCAGGTGAGAGGCGTTCGTAAGCGTGACGACGTCGTTGCCGGCGACTCTTCGACCTTGAACTTCGTCGTCGAAGGTCACGAACACATGCTTCCGCGCGACCTGCGCGTTGCGGTCGCCAGGTGGCGCGCCCATCAGCAGCACGTCGGTTGCTCTCAGGTACGCGTCTATCACCAGTTCGAGGAGACAGGGGGCGACGACCAGCGCGCGCGTCTCCAGGGGGCGCCACACGCTGCCCGACTTCAGCGCGTCCCTGTGCCGCGCGCTGCCCTCCGACTCGACGACGACGATTTTGTCGGCGGCCTGCAGGTGGCCCTCCACCCACTCGGTCTTCGTCGTGATGGCGAGTTCGCCGATGCTCCGCGGCGCGAACGTCACGTCACAGCCAGCGGCGTCGCTCAGCCAATCAGCGAGGCTCTCCACGGCGTTCCAGTGCGGCTGGTGGTCAGGGTAGGCGCACAGGAAGACGCGTGGCCGCACTGAAAGACAGGTGTTCTCGCAGCCGGCTGAAAGGGGTTGTAGGATATGTTTACTAGGCACTTCTAATTTTAACATATATTTTAAATTTAATTAGGGTTAGAGTTAGGGTTAGGGTTAGGGTTAGGGCACTTTTTAGGGTTTTTGCATCATTCTTTAATATATCGTAAAATATATGTTAAAATTAGAAGTGCCTAGTAAACATATCCTGCGGTGTGCTCTACTTGTTGTATCGTATTGTATTGTAGAGAGAAAAGAGGGAGGGGAGGAGAAGCGTATGTGTGAGTGAGGGTGCGAAAGAGCGAGAGCGCGCGCAAGAGAGAGAATAAGGGAGAGAGAACAAGCAAGAGAGAGAGAGAGAGAGAGAGAGAGAGAGAGAAAGAGAGAAAGAGGGAGACGGAGAGAGAGAGACGGGGGAAGAGAGCGAGAGAAGGATAGAGAGGGGGAGAGAGAAAGAAAGAGAGGGAAAAAAAAGAGAGTACTAGTATATTAGGCTATATATATATATATTACTACATACCATACTATATAATCATACATACCTTCTGCATTATCTGTGTCATTTCCATTGCCTGGTTCCTTAGTCCGTGTGCACCACCGTATGAGCATGTACGCGACGTAGGGGACAGCAAGCATGGTCAGAACAACGATGAATGCAATCAGCACGTTCTTTAGCACGTTCAGCACGTTGTAAGTAGTTTCGTTTCCTAAATAAGTTATGTAGAGACAGAGATAGAAGATATATAATGTTTGTTGAGCACCATTTCATAAAAACATACATATATACTCAATGATGAGCCTGTGTGTATGTGCGCGTGGGCGTGTGTGTGCGTATAAGTACGTGTTCTAAACAATTGATGAATCGACTAGCACGATGCTTACCTGGGCCTGGACCAACTCCCACCACGTAGCCGCCATCAGCGAATACTGTTTGGCAAGGGCACTCGATTCTATCGGTATTGTTGAACAGAGGCTTACAAACGATCCCGTACGTTTCGTCGATCTGTAACTAATTTTCAGAACAAATTTGTTTAAAAAAAAACAGGAAACTCGATATAGGCCTACTCCTGTTCGGTTTGCGTATTTTTGAAATTATAACACGTTCTTCGTTGTCATATTTTTAATCACGCGGACTATATTTAGAATAACGCTACCACCTACATTTATCAGTTTTAGGCTTGCGTCGCAACTGTTGTTGTTGATGTTGTGTTGTTACTGTTGTTGTTGCTGTTGCTGTTGTTGTTGTTGTTGTTGTTGTTGCTGTTGTTGTTGTTGTTGTTGTTGTTGCTGTTGTTGATTTTATTGTTATTTTTTCCTGTAATAATTTCATTCACAATTTACAGCGACTTGCTTGCTTTAGTTACTTACCGAGAAACTGTATTTGCCTGTAGCGCTGATGAAGAAATCATAAAATGAATCGCTTCCATTCTGAAAGGAAGTAATACGTACATTTACTATAGCATAGACTATGATGAAAGATACTGGACTCATCGTATTATTCCATAGAAACCCTCAAATGAATTGCAACTAAATAACTTGATATACACGAGACAAGATATAAATTATTCGTACCACAATTCTCAGTGTTGTTGTCGTGCTGTTCTGGGAGCTTTTATGCATGGTTAAACTATAATTTAGAGGGTAGCTCGGAGTATTTGCTTTTGCGAACGCAACCTTGCATAGTCCATCAATGCAGTCGGCTGCAAAGAACTGCGTTTGCCACTCCGCTGCGGCGTTGCATGCTGAATAATAGTCAACAATAAAAAATATAGCAATAACACCATCTTGATTTTTGCCTGGCTTAAATATTTTCGTCAAATTTTAAATTTTAAAATAGGCAAATTTTAGTGAGAACTGGAAAAATGGCAAAATATTTACTGTAAATTGATAGTACCACATTGGGTCCCTTCTAAATGAAAGACGAGGGTTGGCATATTCCAGGCAGTTTGTTACAAAGTTGCTATATGGGTACAAATATCATACGCTACCATCCTTTATGAATAAAGGGGCTGAAGTCGGTGTACACGCGTCGGGGTCTCCAAGGGAGTTCACGCATTTACCTTCCTCGTGACATATGCCCTCGCATGGCACCAACTATGCAAACGAATTTCAGTGTGAGTGTGAGTTACACAATCAGAACTAAGCCAACCACTAACGCGCACGTATGCGTAATGTTATTCTAATCATTCAAGCACGGACGCACACACGCACGCACGCACGCACACATACACATACAGTATATATATATATATATATATATATATATAATTATATATGTATATATAATTGCTTGAACTAGACGTGTTTATTCAAACTATCTTCGTTTATCTCTCCGTAAATAATAGGCCTATAAGGATTACACGGTCGGTGGAATTGGTGCATGCAATACAGCTATAACCCCATATATCTACATCTCTGCAACACAGTAGGTATCTTAATGGTTTTTTATAGGTTTCTTATTGGTTTCTTATAGGTACTTATAGGTTTCTTATTGATTTACACCATATAGGTATACATCGTTTAACTTAATGAGGCAATTCTCAATTTATTTATGTCAACTAAATAAAGACACATTAACTTACACCGATAGAGACAATAATACAGAAGTAAGGAATAAATAACGAAGTAAATATATATACCGTGACTCTGTAATTTCCTGACTCGGTTATCGCATTAAACGTCACGTAATATTCTTCCATCTGCAAATCATAATGAAGTAACTCTAATAATTGTGATAGTGTATGCATGGCTGTATGTATACCACATAACCTGAATTCGGTTCATACTAAAATATATATCAAAATTACGATTAAATGATAACAGATAGCCCATGATGATACACCCGTCCACGCAAGCAAATACGTACGCCCTTGACGTGCCGTAGAAATTTTGTTTCTAGTGCGTTTGATTCCGTGTTCTTGTACAGTCGTAGAGTGTAGCCAGGAAAATCAAAGACATCGGGAGCAACTCCAAACTTGACGTATACCCGTGCATTTTCGTTACCATATGTGGTTCTGATGCCCAAACTCGCCATCCAGTTGATCGCACTTCCATCGTCGTGACCTTTTGCGTGAAAAAATGTCACCAATATTAAGCAAGAATGCATAAGTTTATTACTAGGGGAGACCGGGGACAATTGTAACACGGGGCAAATGTAACAGAAGCCCTCATTCCTATAGTAGAAATGTGCTATATGTATACGCTCTTCACAGCGCATGCACATTTCATTGACCCACATGCTGTCCTGAGGGTAGGCAGGTTTACGCATCGAGGAACATTTGACAGCCAAAACATCGTTTTTTTAGCAGGTAAGTAAAATCTCGAATTACCTAATGTTTTTTTTCTGGACAAATATGTACTTGAGCTATCACTGTCATTTGTATATCATAAAAAAATAAGTTTTTAGGCCTGTATTTAGTAAAAGTTTCATTGACGAATACCAATGCTAAGATTAGAAAACAACCCCCAAATGATGGCCCCTTGGCATGTATAAAAAGTATGTGTTTTACAAAATGTGTTTTGTTTATAAGGCAAAAAAGTAGCCTATCTATAAGCTCAGACATGCGAACTACATAACTTTGAATTAATGGGTCTGTAAATATGTTTTGTTCACAAGGCAATAAGTAGCCTATTTATATATTTTATTCATATGTAAATGAGTCAAGCATTCGTCATAGTTTTTATTAAATTATTTTATTGTGGTTCTATAATTGTGCTTTAATTGTTGAAAATCTGTCCAAGTGTCACCTTTATAAAAAATATAAAAAATCTTTCTGAGGGATACGATTTGTTGGTACATTGTATGTGTTACAATTGCGCCCATTGGTGTGTTACAATTGCCCCGTGTTGTGAGGCAATTGTAACACTTGACTTCCAGTTTGAAATGATAATGGCTTCAAAATAACTTGTTTTACTTAACCAAACCTAGTCAATTTCAAGCCAAGATATGCATCTTTAATTTCATATACCTTGAAGTAAGTATTTAACTATAATAAAGTTGTTATGTCAGATTTGGAAAAAAGTGTTACAATTGTCCCCGGTCTCCCCTACTGCACTGCTGCCTAACCGCAGTGGCAACAATCCTTCACGCGTTAAGGGAATTTCACTCGATCACGGAATTTAACGATGACCAAGAGGCCATTATTATTGTAATAGGCCTACATGTATATTATACGTGCCAGATACTCAGCTTCGTGAATGATAGAGTATGATAAACTAAAGCCCAGGAAGTTGTCTCACTATAAACACGTGGCTAGCATTATACCGGGTTGGAGTCTGTTTGTGTGTACGCATGCTTATTTGTTGTCATAGACGCACACGACATAGAACGTACTACAGTATGCGACATACCTGTGTTAAAGGTAATTCGCTCCCAATTGTCGACAAACATCGGGATACTTGATACCGTCACCGATCCGACATCGCCCTTGATTACTTTGAAACAATCGAAGAAGTAGACGAGCTGTGAAAAACACGTGTTGTTATCATCGCCATCATCGCGCATGTGTTAGTTTTAAATCATGTGTTAGTGACATATAATTATAATTAAACAAGTAATATTTCTATTTATATTAGATGTGCCTCAGTGGCTGAGTGTTTGTGAGAAAAGATGCTCGGCACCCTATGTAAAACATCATACCCCGTAGTCATCTTCGGTAAAGTGAGCGTCCGACATGTCAAAAACTCGCTCGCTGCTCTGACTCGTTACGTCCAACTGCACATGAAATCCCTGTAGCTGCTTTATACTCACTGAAATATGGCAGCCTACCATTATAAACACGCAAAGAATCCCTGTAGCTGCGTTATCCTCACTGAAATATGGCAGCCTACCATTATAAACACGCAAAGAATCCCTGTAGCTGCGTTATCCTCACTGAAATATCGTAGATTCCCATTATGAATACGTAAGGAATACCCATAGCTGCTCCATAATCATTTAATGCAGATTAACATTACTAAATCGCATCCGCGCAGACGAACATCGTGACAGAGTCTACGCACTGACACGGCGACGCATGCAGGCACGTGTACGTACGTACCATCATTCGGCACGCTCCACGATATGTTCAAGTACGATAGAGAAAAGCCGTCGATATCGGTTCGCCGCAGTTCAAGATTTCGCGGTCGCGACGGAGCGTGCGACCCGTCGGTCGGGTGCTCCCCCGTGTATCCTGCAGGAAGATCATCGATGCCACTCGATTCTACACCGAATTGATGGGATTCGGGAAACTCTCGGGGAAGGACGGGAACCGCTGGGTAACCTCGAGGAGGCGCTATATGGACAGACAGGAGTGGGGAGCTATCGCATTTGCTATATGCGCCACCATGGTGCAGATGTCCCAAGTTGGGAAAATCCAAGAAAGGGATCACTTGTGATAATGGTCCATCGCCGTTTTTTCGCGGTGCGCAAAAACAAGAAAAAAGTCGTGGCGGGCTGCGACATGTGTTTGTCGGGGCGCATCACCATTTTTTATAAAGTATACATGTAAAATAAAATGCAAATTTTATTGTGGTGAGACCGGGACACTTGGGACGTCTGCATGGTGTGAAACGAAGATGAAAACATGACACGTGAAAGCACAAAGAACGCTTGAGGCAGAAATGAAAAATTCCAGACACATCTGTTGAACCTGGGGAGAAACTTGTGATAAAACAGAGAACTACTGCTGCTCTAGGGGGACCACTATGGCGAAAAACGAAAATGGTGGTATAGCAAATATGTAACATTTGGTTAAACGGGCGAGAACATAACTGCGTCAGCCAGTTTCCGGTCTGCCTCACCTTTAACTGTTTTAATCCTGCAGGTGTGATTCTAAAAAAAAGCAAAATGAGATCACGTCAAGATTTCTCGTACCATGATTACTACGTAGGCACTATAATGTGCCGAGAGTCATCAGAGAAAGCCTTGAACACCGCACGCAACTGTTAGAAAATACGATAGCTGCGCGTTATATGAGTGTGGTATGAAGTGACCCTATTAACCTCATCTCGATGCCTATTATAGGTATGACCAAATATACATCGCTATCATCGTCAATATTCGTGCATTTGTAGTATCTCGCGGGCACTTCGATAAATACAATATAAATGTAATTATATGATAGCGGAAATATAATCCAAACTAATAAATATCAGCAGTTATGACCGCCAGGTAAACACAGCAGCGTAATACATGCGTACTTACCGAGATCGTGCAATCCGTATCTGTGAGACAAGCGTATTGCTGCTTTGTCGGTCCTATACAAACTGCGAAAATTACTAGTGAAATCACTGCAGCGAAACGAAGTGTTTCGGATCCCATTAAAGAGAGCATGCTTTTAAAACTAATTGAACTTTTTTAACGTGACATACACGCGTTGTGATCTCTGTCTCTCGCTCTCTCTCTCTCTCTCTCTCTCTCTCTCTCTCTCTCTCTCTCTCTCTTTCTCTCTCCCTCTATCTCTGTCTCTCGCTCTCTCTCTCTCTCTCTCTCTCTCATCTCTCTCTCCTCTTCTCTCTCTCTCTCGCTCTTTCGCTCTCTCTCTCTCTCTCTCTCTCTCTCTCTCTCTCTCTCTCTCTCGCTCTCTCTCGCGCGCTCGCGCTCTCCGCTCTCTCTCTCTCTCTCTCTCGCTCTCTCTGTCTGTCTCTCTCTCTCTTTCGCCCCCTCTATTTCGCAATAAAGGCTCAAAGTTCATAGTTTCGTGAAGCGTATACTTTACAGAGCCGTATCTTCTAGGTAAAAAGCAGTCAGCTACTTGTCATTATTGAAATCGGATATTAGAAACTTGGATAGAGATTTTTCCTGCCACACTGCTATTCGGTAAGTACTCCTAAAATTTAAAAAAACGGTTTCAACAAATCATTATTACATTTAATTGGAAAAGGCTGCACTCCCACACAGGTGCGTATCTACTCGTGTTGAGCACATATCGCCATCTATTGGCTGATTTCAATTTTATTCGTGGTACGATAACTTCTAATTCTATTATTATTAAAGCCGGACTAAGGGAGTGCTTTTTTCATGTCAAGCTACTGTGAGTAGTATTTGCTCCCCATTTCAGAAGTTTAATTCCAGTAAATTATTATTTTATTCGTCAAATACTGGGCATGCACGTACACAGGTCTCTCGCTATGCTACAGAAAAAATTGGGACGCCTACCCAACTTATGATTATTAAAATGACTGGTGGATATGTGCTCTTTAAATTAAAAGTATAATTTCATCAATATGCCACTTCATTATTTTAATAAAGGCTGGACATACCGCTGCATATGTTATGTAGGAGACATCGCCATCTACTGACTGATTTAAATTTGGATAGTTTTACGTTAGTCAGATCAGCACCCTATCATTATTAAATGAAGACGTCGTGATTTATTTTTCACGCGAAGTTACTGCCATAAATGTTTGCTCTCCATTTTACAAGTATAATTTCAACACAATATTGGTTTATTTAGCAGATACTAGGCATGCGCGTAGACAGGTCTGCAGCTATATGCAACAAGGAAATTCAGAATGGTTGTGGGCTCCGCATATCTTATGTATAACAACAATGACTGGTGGATATATGCTCGTTAAATTAAAAGCAGAATTTCAACAACATACAATTTCATTCATGCCATACGCGATCTGTTGCCCAAATAGAATGACGTAGGGCAAATGTTAAGCATTTAATCTGGAGTGTGGCATGCCTGCAGAAGGTGCGCATCGAAAATTGCACCCTCGCTACTTCAATGTGGTGGCACTGCTTTGAGGAAGGTCCCTTGCTTTACCAATGTACTGGGATAGGGCGCGGACACGTCGGCGACCTGTCGCCAAATAAAATGACGTAGAGCCGACGTTAAGCATTTAATCTGGAGTGCGGCATGCCTACACAAGGTGCGCCTCGGCCCTACGTCATTTCCTTTGGGCGACAGGTCGCCGACGTGTCCGCGCCCTATTCCTCTACATTGGGATAGCAAAGGACCTTCGACAGAGCAGTGCCACCACATTGAAGTAGCGAGGGAGCATTTTTCGATGCGCACCTTCTCTAGGCAAGCCTCACTATAGATTAAATGCTTAATGTAGGCCCCATGTCATTTCCTTTGGGCGACAGGTTGCCGACGTGTCCGCGCCCTATCCCTGTACATTGGTATAGCAAGGGCCTTCTGCAGAGCAGTGCCACTACATTGAAGTAGCGAGGGTGCCATTTTCTATGCGCATCTTCTGTAGGCATGCCACACTCCAGATTAAATGCTTAACATTTTCTCTACGTCATTTCCTTTGGGCGACAGGTCGCCGACGTGCGCAATTTCTACAAACCTTCATTATAGCTGACAGATACTGGGCATGCGCAAACTTGCACTGTAGTAGGCGCAGGCGACAGATATCCACATCCAAGTGTGGTTTTAGGCCACCTCGTCCTTCGCCGGCGGCCTCCAGCCCCCGTCAGCTCACTCCGAAAATAACCCTTCTGCGACCGAAAATAGTTTTTTTTTGCGTATTTTAGTAATTCTAAAACAAGTTACCATGGTATATGACGATTGTATTACCTATAGGGATAGATATAGCATTATATAGAAAAAAACAAGACAAGCGCCAGTGCAGCACTCGTTAAGTTATTAGTAGCACGTTATAGTGTTGCCGGCGTTATATTTTTATGACGGGGGCCTAAGGCCACCTATATAGAATTGTAATAATCGAATAGTGTATGATGGAGGCCCAAGGCCACATATATAGTATTTGTATGACGGGGGCCTAAGGCAACCTATATAGTATTGTAATAATAGTGTATGCTGGAAGCCCAAGGCCACATAATATTATATAGTATTTGTATGACGAGGGCCTAAGGCCACCTATATAGTATTGTAAGAATAGAATAGTGTATGATGGGGGCCCAATGCCACATATATTATAGTATTTGTATGACGGGGCCTAAGGCCACCGATATATAGTATTGTAATAATAGAATAGTTTATGATGGAGGCCCAAGGCCACATATATAGTATTGTATATGACGGTGTCCTAATGCCATCTATATAGTATTGTAGTATAGTGTATGCTGGCCCACCGAAGCCACATCACATATATAGTATTGTGTATGAAGGGGGCCTAGGGCCTCCTATATAGTAGTGTGTGGCAAGCCTTGGTTGTAAGCTATACCGCCTCCAGCAAAGAAAAGTAGGCTGCATCACTTGCAGAGTATATTATTGCGCCAGCGGGGCCCTAGTGCAGCAGGGCATGGCTTAAGGCCACACTTGGATGTGGATATCTGTCGCCTGCATACGCAGCGGGAACCTTACATGCAAGGTCTTTCTCCTATTTCTTAAATAATGTCTACTGATGGAATGTTATTATATAAATCTATGCTAGGATAAGTCCGCTTCATTTTAAATGCATAATCTTTGCAAAATACGATTTCTCTCGGAAGATAATGCGCATGCGCGCGCACCGTGTTATGCGTGCAGTGACGTCTGAGGCAAACTTCATAATATAGCTTGCTGCGGGGGAGAGGGGATGGGAGACTAAGGAAAAGAGGCAGGGAAGATAGGTGGGGTGGTAGAAGACGAAGGAGGCTTAGCGAGGGACAGGGGAGGCAAGTGGAAGGACGCGAGGGCATAAAGTAGGTGTTTTGTATTACTCTACATGCTAGGGCGCACTCCTAATTATAAACACAGGTCTACTGAAATAAAGGTTTATTAGGGAATCTATGCTGAGATACCCCCTATTTAAATGCATATTCATTACAAAATAAATCCTCTGGTGAGATATTGCGCCGCGCTAACACACTAAAGTAGCCAGATTGTTACAGGCTGGTATACGAGCGGGGACTTACATGCAAAGTTTCCTCTTATTTCTTAAATTATGTCTACTGATGAAATGTTATTATATAAACCTATGCTAGGATAATCCTCTTCATTTTAAATGCAAATCTTTGCAAAATACGATTTCTCTCGAGAGAATAATGCGCATGCGCGCGCACCGTGTTAGGCGTGCAGTGCCGTCTGAGCCAACTTCATAATATAGCTTGCTGCGGGAGAGGGGATGGGGACTGAGGAAAGGAGGCAGGGAGATAGGTGGGGCGGTAGAAGAAGAAGGAGGCTGAGCGAGGGGACAGGGGAGGCAAGCGGAAGGACGCGAGGCATAAAGTAGGTGTTTTGTACCCTACATTGCTAGGCGCACTCCTAATTATAAACACAGGTCTACTGTTAAAAGTTTATTAGGGAAATCTATGCTGAGATACCCATAACCATTTTAAATGCATATTCATCACAAAATATAATGTAACGACGCAGTTGACGTTACCCGTTCAATGTAGATTAGTTGTAGCGAATGAATAATGAAACTCCAAACTCCAAGCAGTTCTGTTAGCAAATAGTATATGTTCTCGACCCACATGCGCTCGCACAGAGGCACGCAACCGCGTGCCTCGCACACTCAAGTCCGACACCTTCACAACCAGAACCTTCCCTTTATACATTTCTAGATAACAAAGGACGTCGGCGCGCCGGACAACCACACGCTTGCCCACAT